ACACGTTTTAGTATTACATCTTCTCTTCATTCTGTGAATATTTCATGAAGATTGCATGAAAAATTGTGGAGTTATTTAAGAAAGCATATAGAAAAATCGCGTTTTGACCAAAAAACGGTTGATAAAGAAAAATAAAATATTGACTTTATGAAAATTAGTGGTGTAGTCCCCCCCCCCCCCCACCCCAACCATCTTGAGACTATAATACCTACCGCAAAGAGTTATAATTGCCTCGAAGGTCAAGTGTGCAAGTTGGGGACGTTAAAGATCCTCTGGTGTTCCTAAAAGTAGGCTTCGGCTGCCTCCCGGGCAAAGTTCAAAATTAATTCCTACCAAACTGGCTTAATGTGTCCCGCGCGCTCATATAACCTTATGCAGTAGTTGCGAGCGCAGTAAATCATCAAGTCAGCCTTCGCCTCTGCCAATGCTTGACAGTTTGTGATATGTGGTGAAAGGGATACAACGTCCCAGCAGAAAGACTTGTCGAAAATTCTCCTCACCTGGGAATTGAACTGCGGTCTTCTGCGTGCAACAACGAAGCACTTTACCGCTACACCACGGACGCTTATAAAATGAAGATAGAAAGGCAGAAAAGAACAAAAGGGGAAAAAGTAGGGCCCACTGTGGCAACCTCCAACCCTTTTCCCCGATTCATTCAGTCTTTACAATTTTGCTCAAATCACTATGAGGCTTGGGTGTTAGGGAATACCTTCATCCCGGTGACTACAGATGAAAAAATAGTACACAGTACAGAGAACCTACGCCAGAAACTGATCCGAACTAAACTCGCCTGCTCACTAGTCCAGTGGTGTACCAGTATGGCTTTCTTCAGTTCCTGTTTTGCCGTTGAATTTGAGTCCCCCCCCCCTCCTCCCCATAAAAAAAATCAACAAAAAACCCACAAAACAAACAAACAAACGAACAACATCAACAACAACAACAAAACAAACAACAACAAAACAACAACAAAATGAATTTGTTTAAGTTAAAGTTTAACATGAACAATCAACAACTCGGCTGTATTTTGTAGCACATGTTTTATTTTGTATAGAACATCTGAAGCCGTGGACAATACATTTTTATTCATCTAAGAGTTAGTATGAGTCCTGCAAAAATAATAATTTAAATAACGACAACGAGCAGCTTTTTAAAAATAGTTTTGTACACTTTCTGCTCCCAGTTTGAAGTATACTGAAGCCATTTAACGATGTAATATCTAGGTGAGTTGCCGGTGAGTCCCATACTCTTTATCTCCAAGCATTAGACTACCGTCAACCAAGCTGATTCAGCACGATGGTGGCATTGGATTTACTCCACAAGATTGACCTCGATTATTTGACGCTCTAAAACACAAATATCATTAGTTTTCAAGCGTTGTCCCTTTGTCTGCTAGTTTCAAATTAATGTTAGTGTTCTTGTCATTTTTATTGTGGTTTTGATTGTTGATGGTTAATCATAATAACCACGTGGTAGATGGAACATTTGGTTCTGATTTTAAGACTTGTAGATTAGCAGATTTCTCTTACAGAAAGCATTGTACGTAGTGAATTATGAACAGAATCGTTGGCTGGCTCTGTAGCATTACATACTATAATGTGTTTCTCCTAGACCTCACAAGGTATTGCTTGACAGGACTGGTTCTGCTAATCTGCTCGCTCGTTCTTTGTGGCTTAACAACATTCAACTGACAACGCAACTTCAGTAAGTCATAAATAAATACCTCGGATCCAAGCCTGTGACATCCAGGATAAAGTGCCTAAATTGGACAGCTTTATTTCACTATCAAAGACGCTTACAACTTGATAATAAACTAATTACTTTTCTTTGACAGTTCTTAGTAAAAGCTGTGTTTCAACCTGTGATTAGGCTCGGGTGACTCTGGTTGGAAAAGGTAGTTAGCAGGGGGATTTTGAACGTGGAGGTATTAATGGTTTTTAAAATAGTCGTCTAAAGATTGTTGATGTAGAAACTTTGTTCTTTGCATAGGCAGCAAAACGCACTTTCAGTGAAGTAACAGATTTCTCCAAGATGTATGACAAAAATTGAAAAATAAAACCACGGCTGCATCATTCATTTAAGTATAACACTTTGTATGGTTTGGGAAAGCAATTTCTATTTGAACAACTATTAACACCCTTAAACAAAACAAAACATATAGAAATGACATTAAGGCAATAAACGACCAAAAACAATAAATTCAGACTCATATATGCATATTGAGAATGATAAACCACAGAAGACACACGCTGCACGCATTCCCATGTAACTTAATTTCCATAAATATCTTGATCCAGAAAGGAAAACAAATCTAGTTCAATTTGTTACAAAAATAAAACTAAGAAGTTATGTTCTAACATATTTATCGGTCGCAATACAACTCTAGACACCAGAAAGTCATACTGATAACAATGCATGAAATGAAAAATAAATAAATAAATAAAAAGATATATAGATAGATAACTAAATAAATAAATAAATAAATAAATAAATAAATAAATAAATAAATAAATAAATTAATTAATTAATTAATCTGCGTTTCACACCTCTTTCTAAGGTAGAAAATCACCCCAGATGAAGTTCACGACTAAAGCCTTGAAGTCCAACTTTGATGATAAAGAGGCAGACTCGCTGTAGAGGACAGAAGATCAATAGATTTCACACTATACCCCCTTGATAATGAGTAAACACAAAAGCACATCCTAACAAACAACTATGATAATCAAACAAATAATACTGATGATGATGATGATGATGATGATGATGATGATGATGATGATGATGATGATGAGGATGAGGATGAGGATGAGGATGATGATGATGATGATGATGATGATGATCGATGGTGACAAAATAATGATGATGATCGATGGTGACAAAATACAACAATAATAAAAATAATAATAATAATAATAATAATAATAATAATAATAATAATAATAATAATAATAATAACACTGATTATAATTAAAATAATAATACCTACACTATTATAAAATCACCTATCAAAGAAAATGCTCGGAGTTATCCAGTTACTCTTCTCATACACACAGACGAAGACACATAACATAGCACAATGTAACAACAATCTTTGGTATTTCAGTTCACTTGTTATCTAAATCTATGTACAGCCGCAGATAATTCTCAAAATGAACAGACGTCAGAGGGAAAAAAAAAAAAAAATACAAAAAACAAAAAACAAAAACGGGAGCAGGGGAAGAAGGAACACGAAACGAATAAAGGCAATTAGAGCATTTTGTTATCACGTAGACCGCAATAGCACAGTCTGCATATCGTCAATACCGTCATGCAATATTGTAGCCTTTTACGTATTTATAATAACAATAACGTATAATATTCCTATATACAAACCGAACACGTAATACTATAAAACAATATATGCAATAGTTTTTCACGGATACATAATAATACATGTACATCATCCGTGAAAAGACAGCCAAGGCAACAAAAAAGAAAATTCTTTAAAAAATGCTAATACCGATTTGACTGTTCTATAATTTTTCCAATTGTCGTCGATGTTTTATTCTTGTTGTTGTCGTCGTCGTCGTCGTCGTCGTCGTCGTGGTCGTCGTTGTCATTTATGTCGTCTTCATCGATTTAGTATTTGTCTTATACTCATTCACGTATGACTTTTACTAGTAAAAACGTATGACATTTAATAATCTAATCTAATCTTTGCCCGCATCACCCACAGTGAGAGATAGGTCTAGTAGAGTGCCATGAGATTTCGAATAGTAAAACTTAACGAAACTTAATCCACTTAGGGCTGACTTAGTGCTGCAATAGAAACACTATAGTGTTTGTTGTTCCTTGAAATATCAGGTCCAGGTACTATAAAATTTCGAGAAAAAAAAAGCTTGGTCTTTCTGTCGACAGTGGTGTCTAGTTTGTGGAGTGTGTGTGCGTGATTTCTTTCTTTTTTTTAAAATGAAAGAGAAACAAAGACCCAATCTTACAAAAGAGAGAGAGAGAGAGAGAGAACCATCGACATCAGACCGAGAGAGAGGCGAGAGGGATGAGGAGAGGGAGAAAAGTAGAGAGAAAGAAATAGATAGATAGATAGATAGATAGATAGATAGATAGATAGATAGATAGATAGATAGATAGATAGACAGATAGATAGATAGATAGATAGATAGATAGATAGATAGATAGATAGATAGACAGATAGATAGATAGATAGATAGATAGATAGATAGATAGATAGATAGATAGATAGATAGATAGATAGATAGATAGATTTGTGCAACAAATAGACAAACGTATACGTATAGAAATAGCTAGAAAGATAATTAAACAAGTGGATGAAGAGAGAGAGAGAGAGAGAGAGAGAGAGAGAGAGAGAGAGAGAGAGAGAGAGAGAGAGAGAGAGAGGGAGGGGGGGGGGGGTTGTCACTAAAAGGCATACAGATAGAAAGATAGATAGACGGACAGATAGGAAAGTTTACCTGAGAAGTTTGACAAAAAAAATGAGAAAGTAAAAAAAAAAAGCGAGCATAAAAAAAGACACCTCTTTCCCAATCGTTCATAGCCCATTGCTTCCTCAAAACAGGGCTACTGCACTTTCATCTCTGCCTGTTGTTTTTGGGCAAAAATGAAATGATCGAAATAACTGAGGCAGAAGGAAAAGGCTGTGCACTCGACTGAATTTCTGATCTTTTCCGTCTTGAACAGCTCGGATATTAGTAAGAAAGAGTTCTCATTGGTGTATTGAAGCGGATAGAAGACTAGAGAGAGAGGAAGAGGGAGAAAGAGAGAGAGAGAGAGAGAGAGAGAGAGAGAGAGAGAGAGAGAGAGAGAGAGAGAGAGAGAGAGGGGGGGGGAGAGAGATGGGGAGGTGGTGGGGTAAGAGAAAGAAAAGAGGGAAGAAGACAGATAAATAAATAAATAGATAGATAGCCAGCTAGATAGATAGAGAGATAGATAGAGAGATAGATAGAGAGAGAGAAAGAAAGAGAGAAACAGAGAGAGATAAAGAGAGAGAGAGAGAGAGAGAGAGAGAGAGAGAGAGAGAGAGAGAGAGAGAGAGAGAGAGAGAGAAAACACGAGAAAATTTCTCGTGATCTGAACAACTGTGTCTGGGAGAATTATGAAAATGGGTCAAGTTTTTCTTGATCAGAACTCAAACCCACGCATACAGACAGACACACACACACACACACACAAACACACACACATGCATACAGACGGACAGACATGCACAAACAAACACACATACACATACATACACACACACAAACACACACTCACACAAACTAAGTCACCTGTTTGTCAGCCGAAGGAATGACCTTGCTAATGCATGGAGGTTAAGTATAATAATATTTATATTTATGGTAGACACAATGTGATTCAAACGGATGTTTTCTGCAAAGAAATCGGTGAATATTTGCCTAATAAACTGGAGCAAAATCATGAGGTACTGGTTAGAACAATGCCATGTACAAACAAACAGACATACACCGCCAAGTACACACACCAGACAACACTTTATCTGCCCCTCCCCCCTCTCTCAACCCATAAATAGGCTCAAATATGCACTCCCTCTATTCTTTTAACCCTCAAAAAAGGAAATGACAAATAAAACAAGGAACATCTAAAAGATGTTAGCCATTTTTTATCAAAAATGTCCGTGACAAATGGTGTTAATGAAAAAATAAAACAACAAATAAAAACTTAACTGGCCACATAAAACTGACGGTAAACGGCAAAGTATACAGTGCCTTTACATGTATGTACTATGCACGGAGGCTTTAAAACAGCGATCGAGAAATGGGCAGGGGAAATCGATAAATCTTACCCACTATACCCAAGCCTTTATGCCCGTTTGCATTGTCTTTATTTTTTGTCCCAGTCCTTCGGAAATTCGGCGATAAACAGTCCTACCAGAGGATAATATTTTTTAAGTACTTACAAAAACGTGTATATCCATATCTTTACTACCTAACAGGGACTTCAGATGTGTTCAAAGAAAATGTAACTTGATTGTTGGACAATACAAATTCTCTTACTGAAGTCATATTGACAGAAAACACGACTGCAAATCTGCAAATTATCAATTCAACTTTGTCACATATATCAAGTTCATAATATACAGATAAAAATCACAACAACATGGGATTCTCAACAGTTTCAATTATTTAAGTACGAGGTAGATCCAAATATTCATTGGTCGCGAAGACACTCTTTTCCACATTCACTCAAGTGTGTTGAAACGCCTTGGGGGCCATGGGTTACTTTCCCTGCCCTGTCGTATGGCCCTTACAGGCCTTTTCCTTGGATACAAGCCTTACATGTAGCTCAGTGTCCTGCCTGGGTGGTGGTTACATAGCACCTCACTTAGTGGCACCATGGCACACTACCTTGGTTGTGATAACATAGTATTTAGAACTGGTGGCGCCATGGTACCTTGCCCTAGGAATAACATACTACCTTGTACTATGCTTAGGTATGTGTCAAGTGAACTTGGAGTTTGGGCACTAGAAGTTCCCGAAATAAGTCGAACACACGGTAGATACAGCAAGGCGTGGGATCGAACATTCTGAGGTTTTCCACGTCAGAGAGGTTGGGAACATTACTACCAGGATCAACAACCTTTGTCTTTGTCTTCACGGTCAGTCAAACTAAAACCAATCAACCTTTATCCTCCTTCCTCAATATTTCAGTTGTCTACCATGAGGAGAGTGTCGATAAGATAGATAGAGAACGCGACATCGCTCACTTGCACCCACACTCTTCAACAGCCATATCTTGGTAGTTTTTCAACACTGTGCGTCCCTTCTCGTCCATGTACAGCATGGGGATCGGCGACATCTTGATGGGAACACAGCACACCATGGGCACAGCGCTAGGGTTTACCTTGTACACACGGGCCTGAAGCATTGCGTGGTTCGAAGCCTTTGCAAAATGTGGCAAAGGCGCCATACAGTTCCCACCACAGTAGTAGGCATTGTAGCCTGCAGGCGCAACGATCCAGTCGTCCCAGCCAACGTCATTAAAGTCAACATAGAGCCCATGGCGCTTGCAAATGTTCTTAGGACCATTCCTCTTCCTACTCTTCTTCTTCTTTCTCCTTTTCCTATTTTTCCTTCGGTTTCTCTTTCTGTCTTTTTTATTCTTCTTCTTGTTTTTAGACTTCTCATCGCCAGCGCTGCGTCTCTTTCGTCGAGGCAACTTTGTCTTTGTTGAAGACGATGATGATGATGAATAAGAAGTAGGAGACCCCGAAGAGGGTTTTGAATAAGAGTCCGGCGATGTACCATCGTCTGTGTAAACGACCAGCACAGGTCGCTGTATCGCCCAGTCAGACTCTGCCAGCTGGGCTGACCGGCGCACACGGACGTGCTTCTCTGTGGACAACACGGGCCGCTGGGACACCACTCTCACTTCAAGACCGTGGTTGCCACTTTTCCCACGTTTCCACTTTAATACTGCAGGGTGGATATCGAAACTGTGCCACGATGAGTTGGTCAGTTTGACCACTCGTGTGTCCAGCAGCCTGGATATTGCCTCACCGTTGCCTGACGCAGGCCGCACGATTTCGTGCACCTCTATCCTGTGCTGTGGTGCCGTGCCAGCAGATACCCCAGGCTGTGTTCGCGCCAAACCACCCGACGGCCCGGAATGCGACGCCGTGACGCCAGGACCTGAGGCGAGGCCACCGCCATTCTCACGGTCGAGGTCAACCTCGGTAAAGATCCGAAGCTCTGCCCCGGTGACTGTCTCAGCGTCTGCGATCGTTGACACGTCAAAGAAAACCCGAGAGCATAAGGGAGGCTGACATCTACTGTGCACAGAATCTGGAACGAGACAATAACATAACATAAAACTATTGTTTGTTTGGCTGGTAAAGGAAAGCACATTGGCACAATAAAAAACAGTCTGTGCTGTAGCGGTTAGGTGCCTCGCCATCGCACGTAGAAGACCAGAATTCGACTCTTGGAAAGAAAGAAATGTTATCGAGCATCAAATTCTGTCTTTCTGCTGGGACATTATGGTCATCTCAGCTTGGATTGGCCTTGATAGACAAGGTTGAAGCCCTCCCACTAAATGGTATACATTGCGTCAATGGAAGCATGCAGCGACGAAGCGCCTAACCAGTACATCACAGACGCCAGTGACATAGAACTAGGTTTGCTTCCCAATATTTTATGAAACCACAGAAAAATACGTCTCATCGGGAAGAGCTTGGCCATTAATAGCTCTATACAATGCTTTTTTTTAAAGAACAAAATGACAAGAATGATTGGATCATGTGTTCATTGCTACATGATAGTATATCGCCCACTGCCATGAAAGCAGCTCTAACACATTGTCACTTTTTTACATTCAATTTCTCTTCCTACTTATAATTTTTCAGCTTTTTCTTCCACAAGAGTATAGTATGAAATTATTGTTATGGCACAGTATTGTATAACATGGTCTGGCATGGTACGGCGTGATGTGGCGTAGTGGTGTGGCATGGCGTGGCATGGCGAGGTGGGGCGTGACGTGGTGTGGCTTCATTCAGAGACATTAAGCTAAGTGGTTCCCAGAAAAGGCTGCTCCCTGTTAGAATTCCGATGATATCACATGAATACTAGTTATCACCATTATCCTGATCACCTATATTATTATTATTATTATTATTATTATTATTA